TTTTTTTTATTCGAAAGATAATCTTGTGGCATTACATTTTAAATATGATCAAGCCAGGCGTAGATTTGTCAAATGGGCCCAAAAGGAGATTGCCGTTGTTCCCAATTTTCATAAGCGAATTTTGTTTAGCGATGAAGCGCACTTCTGCTTGAATGGCTACGTCAACAAACAAAACTGCCGCATTTGGAGTGAAGCTAATCCACAAGTGTATATCGAAACTCCGTTACATCCAGAAAAACTGACTGTTTGGTGCGCTTTATGGACTGGTGGAATCCTTCTTCAAAAACGATGAAGGCCACAACGTTACAGTCAATGGTGATCGGTATAGAGCCATAATTACTAACTTTTTCATTCCTGAATTGAACAATCATGATGTCCAGGAGCTGTGGTTCCAACAAGACGGTGCAACATGTCACACAGCTCGTGCCACAATCGATTTATTGAAAGACACGTTTGATGACCGCCTAATTTCACGTTTTGGACCTGTGAATTGGCCTCCAAGATATTCTGATTTAACACCGCTAGACTATTTTCTGTGGGGCTATGTAAAGTCATTTGTCTATGCGGATAAGCCACAAACGCTTGACCATTTGGAAGACAACATTCGCCGTGTTATTGCCGATATACCGCCACAAATGTTGGAAAATGTCATCGAAATTTGGGCGTCCAGATTGGACTACATCCGAGCCAACCGTGGCAGTCATATGCCAGAAATCATTTTTAAAATGTAATGTCACAAGATTATCTTTCGAATAAAAAGAAATTCATGTCAATCGAATAATACGTCGTTGTTTTATTGCACAATTTAAAGTTCTATACCTCTCAAAAAACACCCTTTACTTTTTAAAGTCTACTTTAGGAAAATAAATTTTAGTGCTTAACCGCTTCCGTTACACATTTTTTTGAAAAAAATTGCGAAAAATCATCTTATTTTTTTATTTTTTTATTAAATACAAGGAAACGCAACAAAACAAAATATGTAGGTTTAAGTTGAATTGTTAATTTTTTACAGGTGAAAAAACATTTAGTTTTAATATTAGTTTACTATCCCGAGTTATCTCGGGCAAATGGAATAAAGTTAAATGTTAGTATTTGTATGATAGTTTTGAAACAAGGGACAACACAGCGTGATACTTGACATTCTGTACACTGGTATCTGGTCTGTTTTCTCACTGGTTTACCTCTGGAATCTCTTTTATGGGAGTACACCGTATCGTTGGATTTGATTTTTTCAGTAGCAGGAATAACATCTGGAAAATGCCCTCGGGTTAACTTGAGTGGTGATGGACTAATGCTGGACTAATGCTGCCTAATATCACGTTTTGGACCTGTGAATTGGCCTCCAAGATCTTGTGATTTAACACCGCTAGACTATTTTCTGTGGGGCTATGTAAAGTCATTGGTCTATGCGGATAAGCCACAAACGCTTGACCATTTGGAAGACAACATTCGCCGTGTTATTGCCGATATACGGCCACAAATGTTGGAAAAAGTCATCGAAAATTGGACGTCCAGATTGGACTACATCCGAGCCAGCCGTGGCAGTCCTATGCCAGAAATCCTATTTAAAATGTATTGCCACAAGATTATCTTTCGAATAAAAAAAATTCATGTCAATCGAATAATACATTGTTGTTTTTTTTTGCAATTTAAAGTTCTATCCCTCTAAAAAAACACCCTTTATCAGCGTTTCTTCCCACTTTAGCTTTTTTTTCTTTTATCCTTTGTAAACGTTGAGCTTTTGATGCCCAATTAAAACTAGTATGTTTAAGAGCTCTATGACTTTTATTTTTCAAAGGCATTTTCAGAAATATTTAACGAATAAAGGAGCAGAGTGGAAATAAATCCTGTAAGAAAAAACGTTTCAATTCTAAAGCTCAAAAGTAAGACGAGCAATATTCAACGTAATTTACTTCGGTTTAGAATGATTATTCTACGTAATCTTATCAGAAGACTTCTCAAAAATCACCGAAAGTGGGGAACACCTCACACACACACACATTCTTTACAGTTTCTTTCTCTCTTTTCTATTTCAGTATATGACAATAAAAAAGTTTCCTGTTTCTCTCCCGTTTTGTACCTTTCTCTTCTTTCCTAAAGAATTAGGTCAACAAGTGCTTTCTGGTCCCCTCTGAAATGAAATTCCCATGAGATATTGGCATCATGTCACGGCGAACGAGATGCCTTCGGAAAGTCGCTGAACGGTTTTGTAAGTAACAAAATGGCAATTAAGCAAAGTGATTTATCATATAGTGATTATATTGAGTAACATATTGTTTTTAAACAATAATTTATGGCGAAAGAGCTTTTTAATAACAGGATTGACATAAGTTTTGTAGTGAAAAGATACAATATTCCAAGATAAAAAGGTGTAAATAACTCACAGCTGATTAATAGTTTTTCTTAGGAAATGAATAATAGAAAAATGTAAACCCATGAAACTTCTTAAAGCTTGAAAATCAAGTAATTCAATTCGAAATTGCGAGGTTGAAAAAAAGCAAACATTGCCAATTATTTAAGTTATAATTTTCCTTTGTTTATAAAATAAATCGATCATTTAAAAAGTCTTTTTAAAATTAAAAATTATGTATACTGTTAAAAAAATAAAAACACCGTTTACATAATTAGAAAATTATTTTTTTAATATTTTAAAAACTAGAGTTTTTAAAAGTTTATTCAACTGATTATCTTTTTGTGAAAGCTTTATTTCCTTGTTTAAAAATAACTCTGTACCAAATCAACATTTTAACTATGAGCTTGGTGCTCATTTTCGACCCACTGAAGGGATGAAAGTTTTAATCAACCATTCCAGACCGGGATTTGAACCCCAGACAAGACGCGTGGAAAAGCGATACGCTACCATTTAGCCACTAGGCTCTTTGCGCATGTAATTGAAATTAAAGTTATATTCCGTCCTTCGTATTCTTATTTACTCTGTTTTTCTTACGACAGAAAATTTTGCTAAAACTTTATAAAAAATAATAATTTCTCTAAAACAAGGGAAGATACATAATATTTATTTAATACTTATGACTTTTTACATATTTATGTTCTTTAAACAATAAAACTCTTCCGAAAATCTATTTTCGAAAAATTGATCACCGTACCATGTCGGATTTCTTAATTAATAATTAAGCTGTTTTTGTATAAGAAGTCAATTTGAATACGGTTTTTAAAATCCTTCCTGAGTTATCAAAAGAAAAAAAAAAAACATTTTTTTCCAATCGCATGATACTATTTTTTTCTACGGCTTTAATAGTTGAGAGATTACTATTGTGATTGGCAAAGAACTTAAATTCTTTCTTTTATAATTTCAGTTGCAACAGTTTATGAACCATTAAATGCTTCTAGAAATTGGGAACAGCTGTATCATCACCAAGCACTTCGCAATAAAATTAAATGACTTTTGTGCAACGAAATAGGAGGAAATCATGTAAAAAAATATCTGAAATTTTCCTCAAAAGTTTAATTGTTGATTGATACCAACTATCCATACTTCGTTTGCAGTCTGATAGAGGTTTTTATAAATTCAAAGTACGATTATACATGACTTAGAAAGTCGGATTTCCATTTACTATACAAATATTTCAAATGTTTCGTCATATTTTTGCAATTTGAATTTAAAAGATATCTTCAAAACAATGCATTGTTCTATAGTATTTAATGCTGTCTAGTCAGTGCTTGGTAGTACAAACATGTAATGGTTTGTATAACTCGCATTCTAATTACCTAATAGTTGATTTCATACTCCACGAAAACGTTTGATTGTACAAATTGTTAAAACAGATAAATAGAAGCGCTTTTAAGAGATTTGCACCACATTGAAGAAAAAATATTAGAAGCATATTTGAGATTGGTAAGTTATTTTTTAATTTCCAGTTTTTAATATAAGCCATTAAACAATATTGTATAGATAAAGAAAATTACTGTTTATAAAAAAATAAGCAGCTCTCAATTTCTTTTAGAAATTTCAAATTTATTTTACAGTAATGCTACAATATGTAGGCATTTAGGGATCCCAAAATTGTTGTTACAGAAATAATTGCTATAAAACAAATATAAAGCACAATTTAAAGTTGTAAAAATCACTATTTAGTACCAGATTTCAGACGCTTTAATTGTTGATGGATTTTTGACTTGCCTACACAAGGGCGCATTTAAGCAATTTTAAAGTTGCTGAAGAATAAAGATATTTTTCAAATTTACTTAGTTTTTCATATATTATTTGTCAGCTTAACACTGTTTAATAGCACAAATTATTTTATTTTCAACTGAAATGGAAACATAGAGCAATTACAAGTTACATCATTTTTGAGATACTGAGAAACATATTAATGTCGATATGCAAAGCAATACAAAGGCTATAGCAACAGACCTAATAATTTTGATCATCTTTTAAGTAAGGAGGTCAGCCCCGTTCAAGACTCCTCTTCAAGCTATCGCACCATACCAATGACAGGGTTTTGAGCTTCGACAGATTTAACGTGTATCAGCCCCTCTACACCAAGTATCTTTAGAAGCACCAAGACACATACTCACGACACGCCGGCCATGAGTTTGTGACTATAACCAAAAGGCTACTGTAGCCACTTAAGCTGAATGTTCTATAAATACTTTGGTCGAAAAAGTTTATTTCTTCTTTTCTTGTTTAATGGGAACTTAACAGTATGTCAACAATTGTATGATTTATGTAAAATAGGAGTGTTCAACCCGGGAGCCGCATGTGGCCCATCTTGGATAATTTTACGGCCCACGAGAGATTCTTTACAACCTTACAAAATACTACTATTTTGTACAAAATTTTTGAAGTTATACTTCTTTTGGGACGTTAAAGAAACAGGATGAGTGTAAATTTTTACGCTGCGTGCACACACCGTCACGGATGTGACGCACATCATCACAGATGAGAAAACGCTTTGTCTAGAAATATACAGAATGGGGCAGATCATTCCCGCCTTCGAGATTCTCAGAATAATAATTCTCTCCACTTCCCTGAAGAAAGGGACACCCGGGTTTGAACCGGAGACATCTCGACTTGCAGTCGAATGCCTTGCCACTGAGCTATACACCAGTGTCAGTGAACCTTTGCTTCACGTTCCGTAGAAACGGATACAAAAATGATTTGTCTAGAAATATACAGAACGGGGCAGATCATTGCCACCTTCGAAATCCTCAAAAAAATATTTCTCTCCACTTCCCTGGAGGATACCCGGAGGATACCCGGGTTTGAACCGAAGACCTCTGGATCACCAGTTGAATGCTCTACCACAGAGCTTTTTCCCCCGCGTCAGGGAACCTTTGCTTTGCTTTCCTTAGGAACGGATACGAAAATGCTTGTCTAGAAATATACAGATCGTAACACATCATTGCCACCTTCGAATTCCTCAAAAAAACATTTCTCTTCAATTCCCGGAAGAAGATGACACCCAGGACCTCTTGATTTGCAGTCGAATGCTCTACCACTGAGCTATACCCCCGCGTCGGCGAAACTTTGCTTTGCTTTCCTTAGGAATGGATACGAAAATGCTTTGTCTAGACATATACAGATCGGAACACATCATTGCCACCTTCGAAATCCTTAAAAAAAAAACATTTCTCTTCAATTCGTGGAAGAAGAGGACACCCGGGTTTGAACCGAAGACCTCTCAATCAGCAGTCGAATGCTCTACCACTGAGCCATACCCCCGCGTCAGCGAACCTTTGCTTTGCTTTCCTTAGGAACGGATACGAAAATGCTTAGTCTAGAAATATACAGATCGGAACACATCATTGCCACCTTCGAAATCCTCAAAAGACATTGCTCTTCAATTTCCGGAAGAAGAGAACACCTGGGTTTGAACCGAAGACCTCACGATCAGCAGTCGAATGCTCTACCACAGAGCTTTTCCCCCGCGTCAGCAAACCTTTGCTTTGCTTTCCTTAGGAACGGATACGAAAATGCTTTGTCTAGAAATATACAGATCGGAACACATCATTGCCACCTTCGAAATCCTCAAAAAACATTTCTCTTCAATTCCCGGAAGAAAACACCGGGTTTGAACCGAAGACCTCTCGAACGGAACAGCAGTCGAATGCTTTACCACAGAGCTTTTTCCCCGCGTCAGCGAACCTTTGCTTTGCTTTCCTCAGGGACGGTAACGAAAATGCTTTGTCTAGAAATATACAGATCGGAACACATCATTACCACCTTCGAAATCCTCAAAAAGACATTGCTCTTCAATTTCCGGAAGAAGAGGACACCTGGGTTTGAACAGAAGACCTCACGATCAGCAGTCGAATGCTCTACCACAGAGCTTTTCCCCCCGCGTCAGCGAACCTTTGCTTTGCTTTCCTTAGGAACGGATACGAAAATGCTTTGTCTAGAAATATACAGATCGGAACACATCATTGCCACCTTCGAAATCCTCAAAAAAACATTTCTCTTCAATTCCCGGAAGAAGAGAACACCCGGGTTTGAACGGAAGACCTCTCGATCAGCAGTCGAATGCTCTACCACAAAGCTTTTTCCCCCGCGTCAGCGAACCTTTGCTTTGCTTTCCTTAGGAACGGATACGAAAATGCTTTGTCTAGAAATATACAGATCGGAACACATCATTGCCACCTTCGAAATCCTCAAAGAAGCATTCTCTTCAATTCGCAGAAGAGGACACCCGGGTTTGAACCGAAGACCTCTCGAACAGCAGTCGAATGCTTTACCACAGAGCTTTTTCCCCCGCGTCAGCGAAACTTTGCTTTGCTTTCCTCAGGGACGGTAACGAAAATGCTTTGTCTAGAAATATACAGATCGGAACACATCCTTGCCACCTTCGAAATCCTCAAAAAAATGTTTCTCTTCAATTCCCGGAAGAAGAGGACACCCGGGTTCGAACCGAAGACCTGTCGATCAGCCGTCGAATGCTCTACCACTGAGCCATACCCCCGCGTCAGCGAACCTTTGCTTTGCTTTCCTTAGGAACGGATACGAAAATGCTTTGTCTAGAAATATACAGATCGGAACACATCATTCCACCTTCGAAATCCTCAAAAAAACATTTCTCTTCAATTCCCGGAAGAAGATGACACCCGGGCCCTCTTGATTTGCAGTCGAATGCTCTACCATTGTGCTATACCCCCGCGTCAGCTAACCTTTGATTTGCGCTCCTATGAGCACCCTAGATATACTTTTTCAGGACCATATAGTTTCAGTTCTTTGCCTATATTTAACATTTTAAAATTATTTGTTGTAATTTTTTTTTAAGTCCCGAATAGCACCGAGGATTTTTGAGATTTGTTAATAAAACTTGGACTATAGGTTTTCCTCGTTGAGCTGTTTTATCTATTATAATTCGTGTGGAAATAGTGGGCTCAGGGGGGCGTTATCACTAAAATTAAAATCCCCATGTTATTTCTATGGGGCTCGATCTTTTGATAACGTAACGATATTACAGAGATAGAGGATAAAACTTTGGGATCACCTACTACTATGTGTATCGTTGGGATGTACGTGACCATTTTCGTCACAGTTACTCCCTCCCGACTGGAGTTAGTTTCGTTTTCCTTTCCCGAGCTAGCACTGCCCTATTTGCAACTACAGACTCTGGACTAGTTCTAATGGATTACTGTTGTGTTGGCTCACATCCAGTCCCACGTTTGAGTTGCTGGATGCCCTACTTCTATTTTATTTAATTGTTTTAATTACACTCTGTCGCAAAAAAATATATGCACCCAGAAGAAATCAAGCTACAATCACGAAACTCGGCAAGAATGTAGTCTGGTAAGAGATATGCAAATGATTAAAATTTCGAAGACAATGAGACAAGGCTAAGTGTGCTATGTGCATATTAGTTGCGCAACTGGGAGAGTTTAAAAGCATGAGTACGAGCGCCGTACGGCTATCCAAACGAATCTGATGACTTTGATAGACGATATTGAGACTTAGGATGCCTCTAAGACGTAACCGGCGGCAGTACGAGCAGCTGACGGACTTTGATAGGGGCCGTATAAGAGGTCTCAGAGAAGCAGGTTGGTCGAATAGACGTATCGGCCGCCACCTCGGTCGGAGCGATATGGTAGTTGCTCGGTGTTGGCAACAGTGGATCACAGAAGGTAGAGTGTACCGTCGCGGAGGGTCAGGACGTCCCAGGAACACAAATGATCGCGAGGATCGTGCAAACAGAAGAGTGGCCACTTCGGCACCAACAACGTCGCTAGCATCGATTCAACGCCACTTACCTCCTTCCAGACATCCAGTGCCATCAAGAGAAACCATAAGGAGACGACTGACCGAAGTTGGCTTGAGGAGCCGACGTCCGCTAAGACGCTTACCACTGACCCCACATCATAGGCAGTGTCGACTAGATTTTTGCCGACCTCGGGCAACTTGGAGTGTGACAGACTGGAGACGTGTCATCTTCAGTGATGAATCCCGATTCAGTCTCAGTGATGATGACCACCTCACACGTGTCTGGAGGCGCACCGGCCAGCGGTCCGATCCAGCATTTATTGTCGAGCGGCATACAGCAATTTCACAAGGTGTGACAGTGTGGGAGCAATTTCTTGGGACACACGATCATCTTTAGTGGTCCTTCAAGGCACTTTGACAGCTCGCAGATACGTGGACGATATTTTAACGCCGATTGTGCTACCCATGCTATCAAGTCGCCCAGGTGCCATTTATCAACAGGATAATGCTCGTCCACATACTGCACGACTCTCCCAACAATGTCTTCAAGGATATGACGTCCTACCATGGCCTGCCAGGTCACTCAGATCTTTCGCCAAAAGAGCATGTCTGGACGCGCTGGGAAGGCAACTGCAGCCGTCCTGAGATACAGGAGAATTAACTGCGCAGATGCAAAGACTATGGCAGGATCTTCCACAGGGGGTCATAAGTGATCTAATTGAATCGATGCCACGCCGAATTTCGGCTTGTATAGCTGCCAGAGGTGGCTTTACTACTTACTGATTTTTAACCTTTTGCAAGCTGTAACCGCTTAATAAAATGATATTTTGTTCTGAATTTTTAATCATTTGTTTATTTTCATATACACTACATGCATACCAAATTTCGTGAATGTAGCTCAATTTCTTCTGGGTGCATATATTTTTTTGCGACAGAGTGTATTTTAAAATGACCATAACTCGGGGGCTCTTCAGGTGGATGTCTTAATTTTCTCAGGAACGATTCTTCTCGCCGAGACATTCAATATGAGGTCTCAGGTGTCAAATTCGATTCACTTAATCTCCAGATACAGTCTGATACCCCACATATATGTTTTTGGTCCTATTGCCCCTGTGCGGAGTATTTAAATTTATTTAAATCGTGATTATCTCAGGTTTGGCTGGTCCGATTCACTGAAAGTTAGTATGGTTCAACTCTGCTCGTGACTGTCTTTCGGTCTTGGCCCAGATAGCCTTGCTAAAGATTTTTAGGAAGATTTTAATCTTGTTACGCCAAAGAAGTATAACATCTTACGTGCGTACATAAGTACACACACACTTTTTTTGTTTACCGAGTATTTTGTTTTCGTTTTGTTTTTTGTAAAAAACAAAACCCATAACTGCTATTATTTTATTACGTTGCTTCTGTTACTGCAAATCTCTTTTTTTTCTAAATTGAAATTTATTAAACATAAATAATGCTCAGACTTAATGCACGGAAATCTGCAACATCAATTACGATAGGCAAATATGTATGCATTGAGATGGACTTGCAAAAACCAAGTGAAAGAGTTGAGAAACAGATGTCTCACTAATTAAATAAATTAAACATTATTTGATCATTGCATTATTATTATCGTATTATCTATGTTTGTATACATGAAAAACAATGAAAGAAATAATAATATATCAGTCTGTTTTAAATTTTCACTCTAACATATGTTTGTAATGGATCCAAATCTAATAAAAAAATATCTCTTTTTTATATGCGGCCCACGGGACTGTAAATTTCTTCCGAAGTGGCCAGTCATGTCATTTGGGTTGGCCACCCCTGATGTAAAATATGCAATATAAATTGTCTTTCCTTAGATTCCAATATTGTACAACATGTATAATTAATTGGCATGGTGTTTCATTGTAAAAGTAGATAAAATCGTGTGCTCTCGTAAATAATTTTAATGCTAGGTAGAACCGTCTTCTTTGTTGCAAGGCGAAAAAGAATTAAAATATGTATAAAAAATATCTTAATTAGTGCTATACTTTGTAAAATATTCAAAAAATAATACATTAGGCATGTCAGGCATTCGAATTATTTAATTATTTATAGATTTATTACTCTTTTTGGCCTCATAAATATTTCCTTGCTTATTTGAAATTAATAGCTGAATTCTCTCAAGCAAAACTTCACACGTAAATTAAATCTTAGAATTTATTGGTGATAATTAGTTTATAAATTATATTAAACATTAAGCTTCTATAATCAAATATTAATTATAAATTATCCAATAAATAAACAAAATACTTTAAAATGTCGCTAAAAGAAACAGAGCAATCATCAATAGACTAAATTCACATGACGTCAAAGTCACATGATAATGGGAACCACGCTTTTCTAGCCAATCAGTTAAAAATACCCATCCGACGTCATGGACATATAAGTCATGATATAAACAATCATGTGTTTCCAGATAATCAGTTCATGCACTTTGTTGTTGCCAACATTTGCTCTTTCCAGAAGCTTTATTTTAAAAAGTATATATTTTTCAACAATAATAACACACATATATAGGAACCAAAATGTTTTTTTTTTATTTTAAGCACACGCATAAAATAAGATATTATTTTTAAAATCTCCTTAAAGGAGTTGTTTTATAACATTTCAACATTTTTACCCAATTATGAAATTTGAAATTTTACATATAGAACAACAAGTACAATTAGTTTAATGTATGTTTTGAATTCAATGGAGAACACGTGCTTGTTTTTATCATGTGACCGTCTTGAACTGAGCCCATTGTCAAAAGATTTTTCAGGTGTTGATAGTAAGAAAATCCACATCACTCTCCAAAATGAATGTAACAAGGCTTTAAATGAAGCTAGAATAAATTTAAGCTCTACGTCAAAAATTAAATGTGTTATGAATTGATCGCGTAATACGAATTTCTAAGTAATGAATCATTCTAAAAAATTCCTATGTTCAGAAAGTCAGTTCTTTTCCTTCGATTCCATTACATTTAAATTATAATAATTAAAAGTTTCAGTGAAGTAACTGTTTATAATTTTTTTCTCCTCTATAGAATATTGAATTTTTTCGAATTTACGTACACGTGTGCTTAATATTTGATCTTACATTTCGATAAACACATAAATATATTTTATGACCTATTTCTACGATAATTTCATCTTGGGAAGTAAAACTGTAACAGCTGTATGTGCAAAAGAAATCATTATTTATTTGGTTGTATAAAGCAAGTTAAGTTGTAATCATCAAAATTAAGTGGCTCTGACTATACTATACAACTGTGCGAAATAAGCTATACATTTGAACTAAATAATTAAACTTAATTACGTTCTTTACTGGGTTTCTACATTAGTTCATATACATAGATTGATTTAAAGGTATCTCACTATAACAATTCTAAGCTTACTCAGCTTTACCACATAATGCTTTTTTAAGGTAACATTGCAGTGTATTAACTTTTTAATTTGTTTAGGGTAGTTTGTGCCGGAAAGACTCATACATCTTTTATTTAAAAAATGACAGGTGCTTAACTTAAATGGGTATTGTATTTTATGAGCACACCGTAAACAATACTTTTCATATTGTAGGTGTTTGTTCGATTTCAGAAGTAAAGATTTGCTAGAATAGATGAAGATAATGTTCCGCATCATGAAGCAAAATGTACGTTTTTTTTCAAATGTTACTAGGTAAGTAAATATTTTTCATTTTAATTCAAATTTATGATATTTGTGATAAAAAATTTAAATTATTTTCTACAAA